TCTCTTACTTCATGAACTGTGTCTGCTACCCTGGAAGCAGCTGCTACATAATAGTGGGGGTCGAGCACAACAATTCATTCTCAAGAAGAAAGCAGGGGAGATTATGTCTAAATAGAGGACTGACTCAAAAGTGGATTTTTCCAGACTGTCACTGCTGATAAAATGAGGTTTTCAATTACAATGCCTAGCACAGAGCAGCCTGCCCAGGGAAACCTATGTTCCAATGCTGCCAAGCGATATATGCTCACCATAGCATTTATCAAACCATTTCCTCTGCTAACAGTTAATGTGTAAGTCTTTAAAATGGCTTGCTCTTCTACCACCTTTCCTGATGGAAATGTTAGAAGTGCAACTCGTTTCCTTTCGCAAAACATCTTGCTGAGACTCTTGTCTCCAAACTGACTGCCTCGTGGGGAAAACCTGCTTTCTAGAAACCTAACAAATGGTCACTGTTCTATCATAATTCTGCCTCAGTGGAATAAGGAGGTCAAACAGGGCGATAACAATCATTAAATAAAGTGTTGGAAGGTGATTGCTGCGTTCAACAGCAGCTTAAAAATGCTAGAAATCTGAATGCTGTTCTAAGCACTCAGGACACAGCAAATTTTTACCTGAGATTAACATTCTCAGGTGATGATGACTGCAATAGACTCTGCTGTCATAAAAGCAAAATCACTATCCTTTCTGTTATGAGAAAAAACAGGCAAAGAGCAAGTTTCACATGAAGATTGATCAAGAGCACATGATTAATGCCTGAAATGTACCCAAAGAGCAGCTTTCTGGATTAACTTTGCTGTAAAAGCCATACACAGGTACCAACTGCACATTTCAACTTTACCTCATCTTAATCAAATCACTAATTATCTTACACTGATCCTGACAAGCATCACCGGATTTCCATTCTTCATAGGAGTTTAATTCACTGTTTTCTTTCAAACCTTCATGTCTGTCTGCACTTGCTTAAGTACATTGTAACCACTAAATCATACAATCCATCATTTCTTTGTCAGTACCCCCGACAGAGAAGATCCTCTGAGAAAATGCTTACAACATAAAGGTCACTTTGAAAGTTGACTAGAAGCATGAATAAAAAAGAAAATGTCTAGTTAAGCCCTTTGAGAAAATGAGGTTGCCATTACCCTTAACTGTTTGAGTAAGTTCTTCAACTGCTTTTCAACACTATTGTGACACCACACAGGGAGTTTAATGGCACCTTCTGAGTATACAGAATCAAAGCCAAAATTCCGCTTACTAACTTAACTTTCAGAAAATTAGTATGGCAGTCAGAGATTAACAATTGTTATATACTTGGCAAACTGACCTATTTCCAAATGATGCTGTCACAGGATGATATGTGCAATGGGTGTATTTTAGCCAACAAAAGCCAGCAAAGTGCCAAGAGCTGCTGAATTTCCTCTTAAGAATTAAGAGCCCCTCCACACACACTTTCAGCACAATATAGGGCCCATCTTTTTGTCAGCACAAGTCTCCCTTGAAAAACGAGGGTTGAAAAAAATCACCTGGCATCATTTCTCATGAAAGGTAAGGAAATAAAAGGAAATGAAAGAAGCTACAAAGCAAGCAGAGCTGATCGGAGGGTCCTACTGGCTAACATGCTCCTGAAGTGAAGTGCAATTCCAGTTTTGTATTCGGTGCTTCAGCACCACGTAAAACAGGAGTGTGAAAACATAAAGTATGTGAGACAAATTACAATGTATTTTTAGTCATAATCATCCCTCACGGGTGCCATCCCTACTTACTAATTAATCACTAGAGCACGAATATCCTAAGACAAGGCTAAAAATGGGGCATAATTTTTCACTAAATACACTTGAAACAGCCAGTACATTTCACACACACACACAAAAAAAAAAGAGGTTTGTGAACGACTTGGTAGTTGCTTTACAAGCGCAACCTCGCACAACCTGAATGGAAATCTCCAACCGCAGCATGCAGTTATGGTTTGTGCCAGCCATCAGTAGAAACCTTAAGGTTTAGTAACATGACTGCAAGTGAGTACATTGCCAAGAATTACTGAGTTACCACTTTCTGGCTAAGATAACACCGTATTTACTCAGTTGCTGTTCTACTCATTGCAAACACAAAATAAAACGCATTAGCATAAACCACTTAGTGAAATGTAACTTGCTAAACCCTTGAACTTGGTACTTGTGATTGTATGAGCATACCTTCTCTGTCTTAGCTAGTATAGACAATGTTATACTTGTAAACAAAGTAAAATCAATATTTCCAATCAGCCAGCAAAAGCAATAGGCATAGGGAGACAATTATAATCTCTAGAGCTCAAAATCCATCCACCATATAGATGCGCAGTTCCTGGTTTATGAAAGTCCACATCTTCCAGTACTTGAAAATAAACTTACTGATCTGATTGTCAGCTGCTAACGTATGTGAGCTGTTCTCTCTTCTCTGTGTTGCATGGGAGGTTATCTAAAGAGCATTCTATCCAGCCATCCATTTAAATGTACTGCTTTGTCTCAGAGTAAAAGTTAAGGTGTCTGGGTCTATCAGACGTTGCAAGTTAATTTTTAATTTTTCCTTTTGGCTGAATGATCCAAAAAACCCCCAAGAACTCAATTTTGCTTAGTTAGATATATATAGAGAAAATTACTATGTCCACATCTCAAACTTGTAATTTGCTTCAGGAGAAAAGAGACACACTATCTGAACATAGGCTCTAAAAAAAAAAAAATGAAGTTGAAGAAGGTGTATAGTTGTTAGCAGGAAAAGATCAAAATTCCATCACAGAAAGGAGTTTTCATTTCTTCTGTGTTCACAGCTTATTTGCTTTTGTGCACAATAATGCTACTAGACCTGTTACCTAGATTATTCCATTGCTTATGAGTTTTAACACCTAAAATCAAATACAAATAGAAAAACGTCTGTAGTAGGTGGCATCCAAGTAATTCTCAGATCACATATTTAAAGGAAACTGGAAATAAAAAGGACAACCTTTCAGCATGGAAAATCCACAAACTCTCTTTACAGCATTTGAAACAAGTACAATCAAGAATCTAAAGAAGTCACTACCGGATTCTAACAAAATTATACAGACATTTTTAATTTATGGTTTAAATATAAAATGGCTATATGCTGAAAATAAAAAAAATTACATCTAATTATTATCTGCATGCATTTGGTTTTCATCACTAATCTTTGAAAATAATGACATTTTAACTGAATAAGCTTCTAAGATCAAAGTAGAAGCCATGAATGAGTCATGGAAAGATTCTTTGATACTGTTTTTCCCTGCTATTAATGACCAGAGTCTTCTTTCGTGTACACTGTTAACTATGTAGGCTTTCAATATTTACTGTGGTCAAAATCAAAATCAGCCCATTAGCCAACAAGACACCGTTACATCTCAGCAAAAAAAACAAGACAGCAAACATAATCCGGCTAAATTAAAACAAAGAGCAATAGCTGAGGCAAGTGACGAATTACAGAACCTTTTATGTTAATTTTGATTGCACAAGCAAAGTTGCCAGAGCAGTTTAATACATCCACAGTTATAAAATCTTTTCTTAAATTATAGATACATAACAACAGTCCCCCCACCCCACCGAATATGGGTCAAATTCTCAAAAACTGCACTTCAGTCCTTGAAACTTTGCTGTCCTCATGATGCCCAGAATGGTCCCTGCAAGAACTGTATGAGGGTCCCTAATATAAATTGCTCAGAAAATAGAAATATGAAATTAACAAAAAAAAAAATAAAAAA